TCGGTTCGAGATTTCTAGGTAACTCTATAAGCAGTTGGAAGTTCAAATTATTTGCTGGGATTATGTATAAATATGTGTAGCGATATATAAATCCTCAGACATAGTACAGTTAGGATACCGAAGTATTCAAAAACTTTCGGCCTAAAATAAATTTAGAAAATAAGTAGTGGAAATACGATGTTAATGACAGCTGTAATGCGCTAACAACAATGTTTTGCACTATTTACTGCTGATTTGCTAATGTACTGCTAATTTGAAAGAATAAATTTTTCAACCATTAGCAGTAGTTGTCCTTCAGAGTAGGCCATGAAATTGACGTTCGTATATATAAACATCATGACACAAAAGAAGACCTACAGAACATGAACGTGACATTAAAAATGACCTCAATTATTTTAACAAATGTCACTATGGTTTCAATATTTTGTTATTTACTATATTTAAGTTTTTGTTGTAAAAATATAAAATTCTTAGTGTTAAATAACAGTTATAAGACATACAGGAAGTACGTTAAATAAACAATCTACTACAATCTTTGCTCAGAAAGGTATGCTTCCTCCTATGCTATTTTGCCCTTAGATATTCCGGATAGACGTATTGTTTCATATATTTGAAGATTAAGAGTAAATCTAACGAAAACAATTTTCTTTCCAAAAGATACCGTAAATCCGACTACCGCAATGACAGTATCAAGCTTATTTTCGAATACCTCGTTCGCGTCGCTAAGAAATCTTGCACATTTCGTGGACTTCTTCGACCTCTCAACGCGACGCTAAAAATAAACGGGCAAGTGCATTGTGTGCATCCGACAATAAACACCCGAGTCAAGTTCTTCGTGTTCCACAACTCGATCCAGTCAACACACCGTCTGGTCACCAGTCTCTCTTATCTGAACCGGCCGGTTCTCGACATTTAATTCTACCTGTTTTCTGGGCTGGTTCTTGCAACGTCACGAGGCAGCTTTCACAGACTGCTGGGACGGCATTTTTCAGCCGGTTAAATTCCGACAGAGGCCAGCGCCATTGCCGCCGCAATGAAAATTGTCCTGTCTCGATCTAACAGACCATGAGTTGAAGAATAAGACGGTCGAAAACTTTCACCAATTTTCGAATAATTTCTATGAAATACGCAATTGTTAATGTCAACATTATCGGTGTATTAGCCATAGGTGATTAACATTGCTAGTTTATTATATTTCCATCGAGCCATGTATATTGTTTCGTTGAAAAACAAAATCAAATTTGAACTGATGATTTTTCTCTGTTTAATCCCTTTCTTTTTTCTTTATTGTAACTGATTTCATACGATGAAGTAATAATTTGCTTTTCAGTGATATTATGTGAGAAAGAAGTAGGTACCTACAAGTAGCGTTAATAATGGGGCATTAATATTGCTTATGAAATCAAACTTTCTAATCGGGAAATCTTCGATTTTTTCCACTGGGACTACCACTTTGTATATGTTTTGTGTATATTATCTAGATACGACGCTATGTCCTGATATTTTAAGTTTGTTGAATGTGCTGTCGCTAAGTATTGTATGAAAAATGTTGAGGTTACTGCTCGATCGCGGGTTAACGTAGTAACTAGTATTAATAACTATCATAAATAATATACAAATTATACTTCGAAATTATTAAAAATTCTTCTTGCTAATGAAAAGCTCAAAATTTGATGAAATTATGTGAAATTGAGATTCTGACATTTTATTTTGGACTAGTACTATCAACAAATGAATAATATAAATATTTTTTCTCGAGAAATTAGTACTAAAAATCGTTATGGGAGTGAGTATTGAAGTTTTTAGGACTTTAATTACACATTTTGATGTGGAATACGGTGAATATTATAATAGAAATGAAAAAATTGACACCAACGAATTAAAATTTACCAATATTTTTCTTTTAATATGTTCTTTTGATTGATCCTATAACGCAAAATAATTATTTGTTCTGTAACGTGTGAATTAATTTTGTTTTAACCCTTGAATCCAAAAATGTCTGAAAATAACAACATTATTTATTCGCCCATCGTAAAATCAAATTCTTATCCTATCAACAAATGAATAATATAAATATATATTTTTTTCAAAAAATTATTGCTAAAAATCGTTATGGGAGTGAGTATTGAAGTTTTTAGGACTTTAATTACACATTTTGATGTGGAATACGGTGAATATTATAATAGAATTTAAAAAATTTACACCAACGAATTAAAATTTACCAATATTTTACTTCTAATTTGTTCTTTTGATTGATCCTATAACGCAAAGTAATTATTTGTTCTGTAACGTGTGAATTAATTTCTGTTTTAACCCTTGAACCCGAAAATGTCTGAAAATACCTACATAATTTCTTCGCCCATCGTAAAATCAAATTCTTATCAACAAAACTTGATTCCATGCGTTATGTGTATCTGAAATTTCGTTTGAAACAACAATAAACAATTTTATTGGAACTATTTGGCACCGCCGCCGCGTTAATAAATGTTTTCACCGAGTCGTATGTTGGCAGTCCAACCGTACAATTTCCACCATTCCCTATCGGAGGCTACATTCATTCTTGTTTTGTTTACCGTTGCGTGACACCCATAGCAGCAGTATTTTTATTTCTTCAGTTCCAGAGAAGAATGATGTTATCATTCTACCTCCGGACACGTACGATGAAGATTTTCCGAGATATTGAGTCCCCATCTTATTATCTGTCTTGGCAATTACGTAACGTGCGAATAAATATCTCCTTGAAATATCATTGAAAATGAGGGTGGATTGATTTATTCGTAGATCGCATTTTGGATGTACGTTCGAAGTTTTTAAATATTCTCATTTGTGTTTTCTGAGAGTCTAAAATATACAGATTGTCCAGAATCTATATCATTGTTTCCCAATCTTTTTGTGCCATACCCACCTTAGCCTATCTAAAATTGTTATGTCCCTCTGGAGAAAGGTGAAAAAGTTGAAATCAAGAAGTGCGAAAGGGTTGAAATTGAACATTTTCGAATTGCCCCCCTCAACAATCAAGCTGTCCCTCTGTGGGGCTTAGGCCCCACGTTGGGAAACACTGATCTTTATCATGGGTGGCTGAGCTTTTTAACAGCCGGGCTAAATTTTATAAATGATTCTCTGGAAGTGGCGTACACTTGATTACATTAGCACAAACCTACATTGAAAATATCAAAAGAAAACAATGGCAATCTTTGCCATATCGTCGACCGAGTTTTGTGGCCACAATGTGACTTGCGATACGCATGTGGCCTGCGGACAGCTTCTTGGCCAGCCAGGAAGATACACGTAAACTTTGGTTGAAATACCAAACTGTTTTAAGCTCTGAGGTTTTCCTTGCAATTCAAAAAGTAGTTTCTGGAAATTATCGGAACAAATTTTTCGAATCAATTGAATATATGTTTTACTAATATTATGGTGTTTATTTCGTATCGCAAATACAAATTTTAATTGTATTCAAATGGATTCGATTAAAATCAAATATATGGAAATATTCATTTAGACTATAAAGTGTAAAATTTCTCAAATTATACGTTTCATTTTATCAAAAATAATTCCTGTAGTTTGTCTTGTAATTCTTGTAGAAAACTGTTATGAAAACTTGTAGTAGTTATGTGGTCATAAAAGATGTGAATATTTCCTATCATTTAATTGATTATCAAATTTCTGGTTATTTTTCCGACATCTTGGTTGGAAATTAATTCGTACAACGAATAAATTTAATAGAGAAACATTTTCTTTTATCATACAACTGGTATTGAAAGAAATCACCGTACACTCTGTATGAGACACTCGGTTCCGTTCCGGCAGTCGCAGGAAACCTATAGTGAATCCTAACGATAAAATTCAATGAATGTTGTATGTGTATCCGTTACTCTTATTATTAGTTTACGGTACTACCGTCTGCAATTGGTCAAATTAATAATGCTACTCGGCATTAGTGCGTGAAAATTGTAACACATCTGTATTAACTTCTACGTTTGTTTTTAATTGGTGGAGGAGGTTATACCCCTCGTTGGGCCTCCTAATGGGATAGATTGACTTGGCCCGATGCTCGACCGTTAAGCTGCTCGCACACGCTTCACTCGTCGTTAGGTACAGTTTTCCACAGTAGCCATTTCGTGGTATGTGTCCATTGGACAAACTGTTGTAACTTTGGAGATATGCCAATTACCCATACCACAAGCCTGCGCACTTGTATGGGCAGTAGTATTGCATTGATTCATATATTCTTGTCAACATTGTAAATCGGTCAGTTTCAATTTGAGAAAGAGCCCGAACTAAATGGAAAAATAAATTAATTTTTCATTTCATTTCGATAATGATTGAATGGCTCACGTTAGTACGTAAAAAATGTCTAAATTCTTTATATGTATTTCAACAAACTAATATTGACAAGCTTCAGTGCCATTAGAAATATTCCTCTAAGAAATAATAATAATAATACATGTATTCCCAACATTTATTCCCATACATCCAATTACAGAGAAAAAATTACAAAAAAATTACAATTTACAAAAAATTACAAATTTTACACAAATAATAATAAATAAGAAAAAATGAACGAGAAAAAAACAAAAATAGAGAGTATAAGCAAATATATACAACGAAAAAATTAATTTAAAATAAATTGAAATAGTATTGGACAATAACCAGATAACTGAAAATAAAATAAAATATTGTCTATTACAAAGTTACGTATGATCGAAATATGTAGCCATGTAGTAACGAAATATGTTTGATGAATAAAAATAAAATTAAAATCGATTGCAAAAGTACTATCTAGTAAACAAATGAAACAACTAAAATTAAAATAATATTTATAACTAAGTCATATGTAGACAACAGGAAATGCAAATGACAACAAAGAAATGCAACATAATGAAATTAATTAAATGTAAAATACTGGAAAACGTTATATCTAATTGCTATCAATATTCCAATGTTGAAGACTTGATATAATTCCATTTTAACAATAAATGACAAAGTAAACACTGCCGGTCTCCGTGGCTTAGTCGGGTGAAAAGCCCGACTATGGTAAGGTAGGATTCGGGTTCGAGCCCCGGTGAAGGCATGCGTGTATGTGTTTGTCTATGATTTAAGTATTTTCATGATAAATTGTTGGGTAATGTACATTAATTACAAGTCCATTGGTTGTTCGGAACCGGCATTAAACGGTAGATCCACTGAATTAAAAAAAAACATTTAAACAATGTTTTCTAGATTCAAACATTTTTGGGTATTCGAAAATTGTAACGTGAGTTTTTTTTTAATTCAGTGGACCTACAGTTTAACGCCGCTTCCGAACGGCATTGCGCTTGTATTCAAAATAAATCATTAAACTACTTAAATCATAGACAAACACAAACACCCCTGCCTTCAGCGGGGCTCGAACCCGAGTTCTATCGCACCATGGTGGGGTGTTTTACCGACTAAGCTACAGAGACCGCCGATAACGTAAGTTTGATCAATATTGAGATACATTTTATTTTGTAGAAAAAACCTTTGAAGTTAATAAATCGTTCAACATAAAAGTCAAAAAAAAGTATGAATAATTCTAACTTTATATTTTCGTATTTTTCGATAGGTCTCCAATGAAAGTCTCTAATATTGAATTTTTTTGATTCTTTACTTTACCTCGTGATATTTGTTTTGGTAGATATGTTTCTTCAGAAAAAAAATTGTGAATTACTTGTACAGGTTAATATTAAAATGATTACTAATGATTCAATAAATTCTCCAATATTTGTCTCTGATTATAATGGCTAAATTTATGGTGTTATCGACTATATTTAAAAAAGTTATGTATACCCAAAATTTATGGAATCGCATGGACCCTTAGCAAGTTGAAATTGATCTTTGTAGTCTGATTTGTTTTGGAAACTTTTCAGTTAACTTTTTATATATTTTACAATATTTAGACATATTTTATTTTGTAGTTATAGAATGGTCACTAAAGTCACTCAGATCATGTATGAAAATATTATGACATAAATTGCAATTTGAATGAATTTGAACGTTTAATGAACTAAATCAATAAGTTATGTCCTCAGTTAACGAGTTATCTTGGCGAATTAATTACAGACAAATTGTACAAGTCAATTTGTCGTTGTGCTAAGCTATAGTACTTCAACAAATTGAGAAATACAATTTCTGTCTGTATTATTGCACAAATGAATGAAGCTCTTCTAATTGAATATGAATGAGTACATTCTTTGTCAAGAATAATGAGTCATTCATCCATAATGAATTTTTAATTACGGTTCGAAATGACCGTGAATTTTAGAGTTTACTATCCATTGTTTTGATCTTAGAAATGACCGCATTTGGCATATCGATATAATTACCTCTCAAATAAAACCTCTTTGATTTATCCGACTATAACGAGAACTTTTCTAAATTATGGAATAAAATATGTGTTATATATGAATTCACAAATGTTATATATCTACATACAAATTTCAAATAAAAATGTAACACGTGGTATGTACAAACACGATCTACTATCTTACAATTAAAATTCAATGAGCGTTTATATTAGATTTTTTCAAAAATTATTACCTACTATTTAAGGGAGACGAGTAAATCCAAGTTTGTAAGAATATTGCCATCGCATGACAGGACGTCTTAGCGTTTGCTATCGAAGAAGTTTATAGTGACCAAGCTGGGGCAACCAGAACAACTACGACATAAAGAACAAGAAGGCGAGCTTGGTTTTTTTTGCAACAGATGTAGCGTGAGAACGTGGACCTTGTTCAAGGTTAAATGAAATACTTGCGTGTCACGACCATAGAATAGTATGAGTGAATAAGTATGGCTCTGCACCCGATCGACTGGTTCTCAGGCTCTTTCTTTTTCTTCGTTGATAGTTGTTTGAAAAGGGTCGGAGTTGTTTTTTTTCCTCCTCGTTTTATACTGGCCTTCGTAATCGTTTTATTTCGAATTATTATAGGTTCATTCCTACCATACTCTTTAATGTGCGAGAAAGGTGTACACATATATTTTAAAATTGGATTTCTAATGAATATTTCATTGAACAAAATGTATGTCTAATGAAATTTATCTTCAATATATGGCGATATTTTTAACGCAACTTGTAAGTTACAATATAAATGTATTTTCAATTAAATATCGAATGCTCTTGTTATGAAAACTGTCATCTTGTACAAGTTGAACATAATAACTTGATGAATTTGAGTTGTTGGTAGTTAATGTAATGCAACACAGCTTGTAACATGTAAGGAAAAGGTGTTTTACCTGATTCGATTTCCTGTATTTTCCCTTTTCCTTTCCTTTCTATTCAAGAAGATGAAATTTCATTTAATCAATGATTTCATGGAAAATTTATATAACATTTTTGCATTAAGAAAATGCCCATTTTCGAATTTGATTTCAAGTTATATTGGCAGTTAGGAAAACAGTTTCAGCGGTATTAAGCTAAATATCCTTCGTTTATTTTAAAATTAATCAACCGCAATCATATTTTCGTTGAAAAGCACCTGCGTTATTTCAAGCTTTACTCGCTTCTAAAAGGTAAACTGTTTCGTAACTCACGATAATATTATTTATTTATATCCCTTGACTCAACAACGAATACATTTGTGGACGAGAACACGCAAACTATTGAATTAGAAAATAAATTGATTGATGAATAAACATCAACGAAGGCCAGTTAATGTAAATTGCATTCTCATGCAGCATATCGCGGCACGTGTCTGGAAAATCAGACTTGCGGCTTGAACTTGCTCGTAAGAGATTTCTTCCTTGCAAGCCCTCTGTAATTCCCTGAACTTTCAGGAAGGAGGAACGGTTCTTACTTTGTCAGTTTACATGTTTAAAACAAAATTGCGAACGATTTTTTAACTTAGTTTTTATGTTAGGTTTAAAACTATTGTTTCTCCTAAATAATTATTCGTAAAGGTATTTTGTAATTAGGCTATTAAAGGTTATATCATCTGCCTTCACTGTTATATGATAACAATAATGAGTCATAGGTTTCAAGATTTTATTACAACGGTCTCATAAGATGCGTTCGATACAGCATCAAAACGTCCATAAAGACATGTTGGATTTATGCAGAAATTTGATAAAATGTCAAGTGTTAATTTACTACAATCTGGTGCTACAATATGCCACCTACGGTGGTATCGTCTTCGACATTATGATGAAGTCTCTTCGATTTGTCAAATTTCCAATGTTGGAAGATGCTCCCCAAGTCGTGTGGCAACGATTTAAACGAGTTTCACGTGATGCGTTCAACGTTTATAAACTTCAATGGTATCAAGAATATGACATGGGTCGAAATTTTGGCATACGATGTGTGCCAATTCGATTTGCCAAATGGACAAGCGAGCATCGTTCGAAGGTATTGATTGGCCATGTGAAATCGGTTTGACAAGAATGACTACAATTCATAAAATATTATAAGATTAGGTTAAGGTTGATATAAAAGATGAATTCTTCATAGGATAAAGAATGGCAATCCGTAACAAATTGAAAAAGTAAGGAATGATGGTTATTTATATTTTAGGAAATTGAAACATTGGACGTAAATATTTGGAACTAAACCTTGGAAAATTTTAAATGGTGTACATACATTTCTACCTGGAATACAGTTCAAATTTCACAATTTTCATGTTATTACATGATAGTACGGTAAATTTTTACGTAACATTACATGATTGTTTTAATCATTGTACATTGAGTCATAACAATTTACAGTCCACTGAGAGATCGTTTTTTGTGTTTTTCAAAGGTTATAAGAACGTAAGTCCTCATGATTGAGCAAAACGATCGTTTTTGGGTCATTTTGAATATGTGTCCTGGGTGACGTTTATCTTGTCATGAAGCGCAGAAGTATAAAAAACTTTGAATAAATAACTCCACGAATATTAACAAACGTCACTTGGCTTTTCAAAATGTATAAAGTTTGAAAAAATACAGAAAATTATATTCCATGCTATATTGTTTCACATTAAATAAATAAATTGTGTCAAATTCATGAGGAAAGAGTTTCTATAAAACTTACGATTTCAATATTGGGGGCGCAATGTTCTACAATAGTCCAATAGCAGAAGAATTACCAGGGGTGGTTTAACGCATCTATGTGGTTTTAAAATTTCACCAATGTATAATGTGGAATGTGAAAAAATTCAATAAAATTGTCAGTACTCGTTTTACCAACTGGTTTGAGCATGCATTCTGGTATAACTTAATGGAAATGTACTGTCTTCAAGTATATTGTATTCAATGTTTTTTTTATATAATTTTTTTGGTTTCTTCATCTTTGGACCGCTGAAAATCATTTACATACACAAACGTCCATGTCTTACCCGGGATTTGAACCAGATCTCCCTCGTTAGGGTCCGTCACTCTCCCACTACGCTACAGAGGCGACTAAACTTCATGCCCTCGAAAAAGCAAGTAGTTTCATGATATTCATCGTTCAAAACTTAATATAATTTTATCAAGAAGTTGAAATCCAGTTTTTATCTGGTCTTCATAACAAGATTATTCAGGAAAATTTCCTTGAGTCACCCTGAACACGTGTACAATACATTCTCAGATAACAAAATATAGAACACGTCATTTTACTATTGGAAGAAGTACCATTCGAGATTTATTTTTGCGTATATCCCTATATAAATGAACTCCTTTGTACTCAATAACAGTGAGAGCATTATACGAATAAAATTATTGAGTAATGCTATCTACACGTTCATACTTCAATAAGTAAATAATCGTCTAGAAATTGCTTTAGGGTCTCACATTCTGCGAGAAAATGACGTTAAAGCGGAAAACTTGACGACGTATGTATTATCTCAATTTACATTTGTTTCCTCTTTCACAAATCTTACAGATAACGAGCTGTGAAGGTCATTCCTATCTTATCACGAGTTTCTTCCGAGATTCGTATAATAATTTCAAACTGTGCAAGTCGCTTATTATTTCCTTTTGCTTCCTTATTGTTTAATGGTGTCGTTCATGTGCGATTTAGTTGTATTCTGCATTCTCACCCTTTGAGCGTGTGAATCGTTATTCAGATTTCCAGTCACAGAACAAAGAATCCATCCC